AGAGGTTATAAAAGATGAGACATTTTTAGATAAGGCTAAAGAAATGGGATGGGTTGTTTATGAAAAGAGGGATGACAAACATCTATGCCATGACCCTGGATGGGGGCAAGTGACGTGGCATGAAGGTGACAGTCACTAAAATGGAAAAGGTCTAAAATGGAAGCTTCAATAGAGATTGTGATGTGACTACTGCCAAAGGCAGTACTTGGGATAAAGAAACACACTGTGAGTTAGATGACATAGCTTCAAAAAAATATAAGAAAAAAGCTGGGGCTGGAGGGGGGCAGAGGATCTTAATACGTTCTACTAACTAAAACCCAAATTCTTTGTCTTCAGGCCTCGCCCCATTCTGGCCTCTGCTTTCCTGTTAAATAGTCTCCTCCTCCCACATTTTGACAGATTACCAGTCACTATTTCCAGAAAATGGCCTTCCATTTTCAGCCTTCACTGAATTCCCTCAACCTAGATTTTTTCTCCCACTTTGATCACACCTGGTTGGAGAGTGCCCCCCAAAATTCAGGTCCACCTGGAACTACAGAATATAACCTTATCTGTAAAATGTAAGCTGTAATGAAGTTAAGGGTCTCAAGATAAGATCTTCCTGGATTTGGGGTGGATCTTAAACATAATGACTTTTTCCTTATATAAGGAGAGGATACACAGAAGGGCAGGCCATGTCAAGAGGCAGATTGCAGATCAGCTACCACAAGTCAAGGAACAGTAGGTGCCAGCAGAAGCTAAAAGGGGCAAGAAGGATTCTCTCCGAGAGCCTTCAGAGGAACATGGCCCGACTGACACCTTGATTTCTGAATTCTGGTCTTCAAAACTATAAGAGAATCCATTTCTGTTGTTTTAACTTGACAAAATTGTGGTGATTTATTAGCACAGCCCTAGAAAACTAATACAACACCTTAACCCCTCATGAAATATTTACTCTTTACTATTAAACTCAAGTTCTTTTGGGAGGTAAAGACTTAAAGAAGAAGACTGATTTTCCATAAAGAAACTCCTGTCAAGAATAGACGTCTCCCTCCTCTGAACACACAGAAATCCTTAAAGGCAGGGCTCACATCTTACTGATGTCTGCACAAATCACATAGTAGTTGCTTCATGTTTGATAAATGACTGTTTGGTGACATACAGGTCTTATATTAGAGTTTAGGGTCATATGTCTTTCCGAAAAGGTAAAATCTCCTTGAAGGCAAAGATCAGGTCATCATTTTGTACTTTCGTAGCACCTAGCAAAGTGTTTCAGCACTAAGTTTGCACCAAAATGTTTAATTTGTTAAGGGAATAATGGCTAATCAAATTAATATTTTGATTGACTAGATCTAATATACTAAGCTGAAAACATTTATCCTGTTAAAAAAAAAAAAAAGTGCTGGTGCTTTTGTGCCTCCCATCAACTTTGAGGCTGTCCTTAACAACAGCCCTCACTTCTATGGGGAAGAAGAACACAGCCATTACTCCAGGTCACCAAAGAGAATAATGATCACTATGGTCAAACTCATTTGCCCTGGCAACAAGACCATCAGTCACTATTTTGGCAGTGATAGCCGTCATAAAATACATTAGTGTCTTGGCTCATTACTCAAGATGGAAAATTAGGGAAAGATCACGATATTTTATTTTGTTAGTGAGACCAATAAAGGCTAGGAGAAAAGATGTGCAAACGATGCATCTGATAAAAGATTGTTATCCAAAATATACAAAGAACTCTTAAAACTCAACATTAAGAAAATGAACAACCTGATTAAAAATGGGCCAAAGATCTCAACAGACTCCTCACAAATTACAGAGGGCAAATAAGCATAAGAAAAGATGCTCCACACCATATGCCATCAGGGGAATGCAAATTGACATGACACACCACTAGAATGTGGAACAACAGGAACTCATCTGTTGCTGGTGGGAATGCAAAATGGTACAACCACTTCGGAAGACAGTTTGGCCAAGCTTAACAAAACTAAACATACCCTAATATTCCTTGGTATTTACCCAAAGGAACTGAAAATGTATGTCCACACAGAAATCTGCACATGGATGTTTATAGCAGCATCATTCATAACTACCAAGAGTTGAAAGCAAACAAGATGTCCTTCAGTAGGTGAATGGATCAGTAAACCGTGGTCCATCCAGACAATAGTATATTATTTACGCTAAAAATAAATGAGCTACCAAGCCATGCAAAGACATGGAAGAACCTTAAATACATATTACTAAGTAAAACAAGCTAATCTGAAAAGGCTACATGTTGTATGATTCCAACGATATGATATTCTAGAAAAGACGAAACTGTAGAGACAGTGAAAAGATCAGTGGTTGCCAGGGTTTGGGGGGAGGGAGGAATGAATAGGCAGAGCTCAGAGGCTTTTTAGTAGCAATGAAACTACTCTGATACCAGAATAGTGGATACACATTATGATGTTTAATTTTGTGTCTACTTGACTGGGCTAGGGGATGCCTGGACAACTGGTAAAATATTATTTCTGAGTGTGTTCGCATTTAAACCAGTAGAATGAGTAAAGATCTGCCCTCAACAATGTGGACAAATATCACCCAATCTGTTGAGGGCTCAAACAGAACAAAAAGGCGGAGGAAGGGCAAATACTCGCTCTCTTTTGAGCTGGGCCATCCACCTTCTGCCCTCAGACATCAGAGCTCCTGGTTTTCAAGCTGGGCCTTATTTCAGCATCTCCAACCCCATCTCTCACCACAGTTCTCAGGCCTTCAGATAATCTAAATTATACCACCAGCTTTCCTGGTTCTCCAGGTTGCAGATGGCATACAGAAGCATATTTCAGCCTTCATAATTCCATAGTAAGTCTCAATTCCCATAATAAATCTATCTATCTATGTTCTATCAGTTCTGTTTCTCTGGAGAACCCCAATACACATGCCATTATAAATTTGCCAAAATCCACAGAATATACAACACCAGGAGTGAACTGTAATGTAAACTATAGACTTTAGGTGATAATGATGTGTCAGTGTAAATTCATCAATTGTAACAAATACACCACTCTGGTGGGGAATGTTGATAATGGAGGCTGTGCATGTGTGAAGACAGATATACAGGATATCTGTACCTTCTGCTCCATTTTGCTGTGAACCTAAAACTGCTTTAAAAAATAAAGTCTATTAAAAAAAAAAACTACCACTACTAAGGCACTGTGAGGTTTAAAAACGGAGTGATCTTACAAACTTCTCATATGCATGATCTAATAACGCCCAGTGACCCCACCCTCAGCCTTTCCTGGAACAGCCCGTTACTGGCCAGCTTGCAGTGGACATGGTCTCCATCATTATCGTCCTCCCACGCCACGTCCTGCCAAGTACAGTAAACCTGATGGAGTTTTTCCTCCGTTTTCTGGACCAATTTTGTTTTCCACCACTCACCGCTAAATTAATTCCACATCAGGCAATTTTTCACATTTAAATATCTCATCTCTTAATACTCCTTTTCTTTTCCCACTCTTATTACTTGGCTAAGTAAAGCATCTCTTGGCTTCTTCTAGAAATAGAAGTATTTACTAAGGTCCTAGGCTCCTGTACCTTCAAATGTAGAGGCCCAAGGTGGTTTGCACACTAGTTACAAACTAAAAAATGATACACCTACATGCAGGAAAAGAAAACCAAAGGATTTGGGGGGCGGGGTGAATTAAACAGAGTCAATATTTGCAAACTTTATAGCTGTAACTGTCAAGGTGCATTTTTAAATGCTACCGATAGTAATGTTAATTAAGCCTACTTTTCCTTAATCATCACTCAGGATAAAAAAAAGCATTTATTCTTTTACATCATTCTTTTTGTATACGAGCATTGCAGCATTAATTTGTATGACTTCTCATTGCACAATGTTTCATTTTAATTCTATCCTATTTCAGCTTCACTGTAGGTTAAATCGGTTCTTGTAGGTTAACCTAAACTCTAATTGAAAATCTATAACCCCAAAAATTCAAGCTGACTTAAAAACTAAACACAATCACTCTCTGTCCATATCCCTAGCTTTTAATTCAAAGGTTTAAGAAAATATTCCACCTTGGTTTTCAAAACACATGAAAACATTTCAATTAAGGTCAAAGGTAGTTTCAGTGACGTGAGTGAGCACAGCAGACACAGAAGTGGAGTTCACACTCATAACCAGTGCTGGGTTTCATTTTGTTAGACTTTTGTACAAGAAACTTTAAGACACTGTCGTTTTTCTATTCTGTAGAAATAGTGTCTTGTTTTCCAACTAGGAGAGGACATTTTTTTTTAATTCCATAGGTTTGTGTTTAGCTAGAAGAGACTGTACCACATCCCAAGATTTTTTCCCTAAGCTATCTAGACTGACTTGAAATATTTCTTTTGGAAAGTACACCATTACAACACGTTCTAAAACACTAAAGTTTTAAGTTAATTAAAGTTAAATTACAAGTAAACGGCATGCTGATGATTCTAAAGTCAACATTAAAAATCAAAAGTTGCTAGGCTGAGCCTGGAGAAGGCTTGATTCTAGACTATGGCAAGAGGTACGTGAAGGGTGGAAAAGTCCAGAGAGAGATCCCAACGCTTTGCGGGTCAACTTTCAGAAGTCACCAACATGCGAGTTGGATTCAGAACCCACGCGGAGGTAAATTCTGCAAGCGTTTATCGTTTCGGCCTATCGCCAGAAGTTGATAGAACTTCATCGAGTTGGAGGGGAGTGGTTGGTAACCTTCCTGCTTTTAGAAGCCGCCACCCCTGCGGGAATCAATTCCCGGCTCCGCGGCGCAGAGCCAGAGCTGAGTGGAGCTGGCCCAGGGAACGCGCCCGCAGGCGGCAGGTAGAGGGAGTCCCCTGGGGACGGCTCGGGTTCTCCCCAGCTGGGAAGGAGGAGGCAGCGGCTACCGCACCAGGTAGCCGGCGGGGCGGAGGAGGAGCTTAGCGAGGAGGAGAGGCAGCGCCGGGGTGGAGAGCGCGGGGCGGAGGGGGGAGGAAGCAGGGGGGGGCGAAGGCGCGGGCCCCGGGGCACTCACCCGCGGGGCGCTCGGGCTGGATGGGCCGCCACATCAGGGTCCGCTCGCGCAGCACCACATCGCAGCTGTTCCTCCCGATTTCGAAGATGCCCCGGAGCAGAACCTGCTCCGCCGCCGCCTCGGGCTGCTGCGGGGACGCCCAGAGCGCGGAGGGCACCGCGGCCGCCGCCCCGGGCGCCGCCTCCTCCCCGCCGCCCTCCAGGGCGCTCACGCGGCCGCCCCGCTTGCCCCGAGGCATGGCGGAGCCACAGGCTGGGCCGAACTCAGGGGCCTGGGGAAGGAGGACTTTGGACGAGGAGGAACTGGGGGAAGCGGAGGCAGCGGCAGCCTCGGCTCTAGTCGGCGTCCGGCGCTGCCACAGCAACCGCGCGCACAGACCCGGGAGGGAGGCGGAGCGGGCGGGCGGGGCCGCGGGGACCTGGCCCAGCACCCTAGCCTGCCAGCCTCTCGCCTCTGCTACTGAAGGCAAAAGATCCCGGTGCAAGGAGAGGAATAAGTTGCTCCCTCCGCTCAGTCTCTAGGGTTAAATGGAATTGAGCGCATTGCATTACTCGCAGTTGAACAAACTTTGACTGCATACTCACCCACCTGGGCATCTTGTGAAAAAGAGAATCTTCTTGAATAGTCCCAAGTACTGTCCTAAGAAGGTCCCAGGCGGTGATGCCGCCGCCGTAGGTCCGCGGAACACACTTTGATTGCAAGGCTATAAGCCTTCGTTCTCCAACTTTCTTTGCCGTGGGCTCTCCTGAAGAGCAGAGGTCACGCTTTATAACCACGTTTCCATGCGCTCAATAATTAGCTGATCTTTANTGATGTATTATAGAACTGTACACCTGAAATCTATGTAACTTTACTAGCAATTGTCACCCTAATAAACTTTAATTTTTTAAAAAAATGTAAAAATAACCCATATTTCTAAACAATTTTAACATCCTTTAGCTTACTTGACTCTAACAATTCTTATTTCTCAATGTTACATATAATTGGAAAGTAAATAGCTATGTATTAACCATTATATTAAAAATCACACAGAATCAAACAACAAACAAAAAAACCCTCACCTCACCATTAACAGAAATCTGGAAGAGGAGGTAAAACCCACTTTCAGGCCTGGAAAAGATTTAGCCCAAAGAGTATTATAGTAAATCCACCTGTTATGGATTGAATTGTGCCTCCCCAAAATTCTTATGCTGAAACCCTAACCTCCAATGTGACTATAGTTGGAGATAGGGCTCTTAAAGAATAATTAAGGTTAAGTGAGGTCATAAGGGTGGTTCCCTAATGCAATTGGACTGGTGTTCTACTAAAAGTAAGAAACACCAGGGATGTCTCTCTCTCCATATGTGCACAGAACAGAGGAAAGGCCATGTGAGGGCACACGGAGAAATGGGCTCTGCGAGGTGACGAAGAGTGACCTCCCCAGAATCTAACTCTGACAGCGCCTTGATCTTGGGCTTCGAGGTGCCAGAACCGTGGGACAATAAATATATTTCTATATTTATTGGTGGCTTGCGGTATTTTGTCATGGCAGCCCCAGCAGACTCCTACACCCTCCTTTCTTAATTTGTCTTAAGTTCTAATTTCTTCTTTAGAATATGTTCTACACTGGGTCCTTTTAGGGCCGGCTGAGTGGCTCAGTTGGTTGGTACACTGGGTCCTTTTGTCTTATCACCACATCAAGCAAAACATGGCAAACAGAGAAACTGAACTTTTTTTTTTCACTCCTATGTTCCAAATGTGAACACTGCAGAATATTTAGCATGAAAAGGAGAAAAATAATTAAATAATTGCTTAGTTTATTATTAATTAGAATAGCTAGAGTTATATTGGGAGGACATAATTATTTCAGGTGGGAATTAATCAAGATAGGAAGGGATGCAATCAGGCCCAGGGAGAACAGATGTAGGTAACTGAGAAACTTGTGTACGATTTGCNCGTTCTCCAACTTTCTTTGCCGTGGGCTCTCCTGAAGAGCAGAGGTCACGCTTTATAACCACGTTTCCATGCGCTCAATAATTAGCTGATCTTTATGCAGCTGGTAAATTGAATGTGGGCGAGCTCACTTCCCAAAAGCCCTGAGTGGAAGTCAAAGATAAGTCCCTGGTTTGCATAGACAAATTCTCACCAGACACATTTAATATCAAAGGAAGGTGCCTCCTTGCCCCCAAGGTATCGCCTCTGCAGTCTTGTCTTTGCCTGGACCCCACACTCCTTGGAGAGAGATTATAAACAAGCAGCAGGGCTTGTTCTCTTGAAGGCTGCTGCTGCAATGTAGTGTCACCTGGAAATGGAGAGCGCCCTGGGGGTTCATCCTTCAGTTTCTCCTGACAGCTGAGATTCATGAAATTAGCTGATTGGTTTTTGCTTTTCTTTTTTTATTAGTTTCAGGTGTACAAAGCAATGTACTAGTTCAACCTCTATACCCCTCACAAAGTGATAACCCCCCCAATCTATTGTACTACTCCTCTGACATCATATATAGCTGTAACTATACCATTGACTATATTCCCTATGCATTAAAATTGTAATATATACTGATAACGAAAGATGAATGCAAGTCACATTTGACTTCTACAATTACAAGAGGCACTCAAAGTGGTTACCATCAGCGTCCAGACACTTCTGACTACAGCGAACTACTGCTTGAGCAACGTTGACCAAAGTGTCCACTTGCATATATTTTTTGGCACCTCCAGTATATATTTAATTATTGTTGACATTCGCTATTATTGAACTTCAGCTTCAGGTGTATAGCTCAGTGGTCAGGCATCTACACCATCCATAAAATTAACTGATGGTTCATTTGGAAAGCAGAGTCTGGAGGCCCGTGGTTCTCAATCATGGCTGCACATTAGAGTTACCTGGGGAGATGTTTAAAACCCAGCTGCCCAGGCTACCCTCAAGACAATGAAATTAGAATCTCTGGCAATGGAACCTAGGCTTCAGGATTTTTAAAAGCTCCTGGAGTGATTCCAGTGATCAGCCAAGGCTGGGAAAAGCTGCTGTAAGCAGTGTAATAACGGAGAGTTGACAACTTGTGGTAGTCAAACAGCGAGAAAGTGAATTCTCAGGAAGAGGAGCTGAGTGGCGAGCATAATGTCGGAATAATTGTATTCAGAAAAAGTTAGGAGTGATGGAGCTAAAGAGGAAATCAAATTAATGGAATTCTGGATCGAGTTCCAGTGTGCTGGTGCCTAACCAATGACATCAGAGAGTCAGCCACTTATTCTGTCCTCCTCCCTGGTCACACCACAAAGTAAGACAGAGGAGCTAGTGGTGGCAGAAGTGTCTCAAGGTTCTCTGCTCAGACTTAGATTTCAAACAACCAGAGAGGAAGATGATCAGCCTAGCCAAGTCATAAAGCACCTGTGTGTTAGTTAAGCTGGGGCTCTTACTGTTTAATGTCTGAAAACAAATACCCAAGCTCCCAGGCAAAGCAGGAAAGAGCCTCAATCTGATCTGATTGCAGCGGCCTGTGTCTTGGAGCAGACGTGCAAGCTGCTGCTAAACCCCATGCAGGCTTCAGGTGGCTCAACTCATCAGTCATTCGTGGGAAAGGCTGGTGCCCTCCACAGAATGAGTTGCAATTCTGGAGTCAGCATCTTGTGTTCACAGCTGTCAGGCAATCAACACAATTAGGACTCACTGGCATTTTAAAAGTTCATGGAGAGCCCAAGCCAACAGGCCAAGGCAGTGGCTGTTTCTTAGGACATTGGCAAGGAACAAGTTGCCATTTTTGAAGCTTCAATCCAGCCAGACAGTCAAAAACACTAGCTTTGCATTTCTTGAGAATGAAAGTAATGGCTGTGTCCATTCTTTTCCTTTGATAAGCAGTCTTCTTCCAGGGCCCTAAAGATTTTAGTGTTTTGGGGACTCTGTTCTCGGGGTCTATCTACCCAGGCAACTGTGCCATGGCTTTGCACACCAACCAGGGCTCTTCAAATGATGCCACCAGCCCCAGCCACTCCCCTGAACTTCAGACACTGTGTCCGGCTGCCTAACTGATGTCTCAACTTGGCTGTCCAATAGCCATCAAAATGCAACATATCTAAAGCCAACCTCACGATTTTCCATCTTAAACCTAATCCTCTCAGAATATTCCAAATCTCGGAAATAATGTTGTCAGAATCCTTGCTATCATCCTGGTCTCCTCTCTTTGTCTCATACCTCATGTCCAAATTCTGCCAACTCTATCTGCAAAATAGACTCCTTTCAAACTGCTCTCATCTTAGTCTGCTCCCCCACACCTCTCACCTGGTCAGCGTCTTTAACCTCCCAACCCACCTTTTTGCTTCCCCCTTCCCCTGCACAGCCTCCTTTAGCTCAGAGTCTATTTTCCACTTAGCAGGCATAGCGTTCCTTTTAAAAATAACAAGATCATATCATTCCCTGCTCACAACCTTCCTTTGACCTCCCATCACTCTTGGAATAAAATCAAAATGCTTAGCAAGATGGCAAAGCCCTACATAACCTGGCCCGTGGCTACATTGCTTACTCACACAAGCCTTCTTACTAGTCCTCAAACACAGTGAGACTAGTCCTTCCTCAGAGCACTTGTCTTAATGTTCCCTCTGGCTGGAATGCTTTTCCAGTCAGCCAACCAGATGGCTTCCTCTTTCTCTTTATTCACTTTTCAGATGAAAGGCCACCTCCTCTAAGAAGCCATTACCGAGAATCATCCATCATTCACCAGCCTGTAATCCTGTGTGTTAGTTTCCTATTGCTGCTGTAACCAATTATGATAAACTCAGTGACTTAAAACAACACAAATGTATTATGTTATACTCCTGGAGTCAGAAGTCTAAACTCATTTTCACTCTACTAGATGTGTGAACAGGCCTGCATTCCATCTGGAGGCTCCAGGGGAGAATTCATGCCCTTGCCTTTTCCAGCTCCTGGAGGTTGCCTGCATTCCTTGGCTCAGAGCTCCTTCTCCCATCTTCAAAGCCAGCAGCATAGCATCTTCTCTCTATGCTTCCGGTCTCACATTTCTGCCCCTGACAGTCTTTTCTCCCTCTTATAGGGGCTCTGGGATTACATTGGGCCTTCCTGGATAATCCTTAACTACATCAGAAGTTCCCTTTTGCTGTGTAAGGTTCTGGGGATTAGGACATAGACATCTTCAGGCCACCATTAATCGCTCTACCATAGCCTGCTTTATTTGTCTTTGTATCCCTTATTATTACCTCTTATTACTTATTTACTTATTTGTTTATTGTCTAGGTTCCCATTGAATGAGTTCACGCACTGAGTGGCAGTGTTGGAATATAAGACACACTCAATAAATGTTAAGTGTTATTATTGCTGTTGAAATAAATCTCCTTGGTCGCAGGGAATTTATCTTGTTCTCCACTAAATCTCAGTATGCAGCACAGTACAT